AAATTTAGATAATTTTTTTTTCAATCAAGGCCAGACAACTCTTAGAAACTTTCAATGTGCAAAATGACCGTCTCTGTACATGTTATTAGTCTTGCCCATTTTGGTTCATTTCACTTATCTTTATCTAAAATCGTCGAAAATCCCTTCATTATACATTGAATACCTTAAGATGGACGGAAACTGATATTGGAATAAGGGTTTTGAATCTAAAAGTGAAAATTGAGACGCCCTTTTAATATTTGTAATTTTGTACATTATACAGCAAAACTCTGCAAAGATTAAAACAAATACATTGTAATATTTTTCAACATGCAAATATGTCCCCGAACCAGTTTGGCCAGTCTAAAATGTTGTAACAAAAACTTGAATGGTATCACAAGAGACAATTATATGCTTGATACCCAAAGCAACTATTTTACTCACTTTTAGTAATGCAAAGAAAGCTCATGCATGTAAAAGCAGACTTAAATAAAGCCGCTTCAAAATCGTGTAAAAGCAAACTTAAATAAAGCTGCTTCAAAATCATGTAAAAGCAGACTTAAATGAAGCAGCTTCAAAAACATGTAAAAGCAGACTTCAATAATGCCACTTCAAAATTATGTAAAAGCAAACTTAAATAAAGCCGCTTTAAAATCAGAACACAAATCTGGCAAAACACTGACAATGTTATCCAACATAGGAAACATAATGGTTTTCTTATATCCTGAGACGCATTAGTTACATCTCTTGTAACCAGCCCATAATTTCTTAATAATAAATGATTTGATTGAATTCTGCCAATCATGCAAGTTGATGACAAAACTGATTCCTGATATTAAATAGCATTTGACGGTAGAAAAAACCATAATACTCTCTGAGATATATGCTATAAAATTAATCATATGATCAAAAGGAGGGGACCAGATCTGCTAGAATGATACCCGTTGCCTGAAATTGAAAAAAGACTTTTTCTTTCTGTATTTTGAGATACACCGGTTTGAAGGAGACTGGCTACAGCTAGCTCATGAATAGCTCTGCAAAACTGAATAGGTACATGTACATGGAGGGAAAAAGATTCTGTAATGTAACCTGGTCCACAGAAACCGAGAAATAGCATCTGGAATTTATTTATTATTATTATTAATTTTATAATATACCTTGTATATGTTGAGCTTTTAAATGTACATTGAACTTAAAAAGTCTGCATAACTAACATCCCGACTAATGCCATAATTCTTTTGTTTTTAGATGATTTGTGATTAAATTGCTGTAAACCAAAGAAAAAATTGTCAATATGAAGGTTTTTGTTTTTTGGGGTTTTTTTTTTTTTTTGGTTTAATTTAATTTAAACTTTCAGCACAGATCATAATCCTTAATACAACAGATACAAGTTCTAGGAAGGCGATATCCCTGTATTACTCCTCAGGCCAGTCAACAGGTCAATGTGGGCAACACCAATGTTTACATGTATTTAACACCACACCGTAACCATTGAACTATCTAAATAAAATTGAAGTACATTAATTATATAGATTATTCCTGCCATACACGACTAGGAAAGGTTTGTTCCCATCTCGCCTTAACTGTAAAATTTAACATTCCCATTTCGCCTTAGTAAGCTCTCAGGTAAATTAAGGTGATGAAGATTTAATATATTTAGCATGAAGTAATTTCTAGAATTAGATGTATTACTTCATTCACAATATTCATAAACTCATATTAATTGTTAAATTCAATCTAAAAAAAATAACATTTAACTTTTTATATGGCGTGACGTGTCCTACAATTTAAATTCCCAAGAAATAGAATTAATATTTATTACATTTACACATCAATAAGTCTAGTCTCTAGATAACTTTTTTTATTTATTAAATATTTATTTAATTATTTTGGGGAGTCGTTTAGAAAAAAAATTTTTAAACGTTTAATTATTCGATAAATTCGATAAATTCAATTTTTAAAAAATAAAGTCTATGTTCTGTATGTATATTTAAAGAAATTGAATGTTTATGTACATGAAATGGGACGATTTTTTTTTTTTTTGTTTAACAGACCCCCATATTTTCTTTGAAAATTATATAAAAATGGCATTACTAGATCACCGTAGAAAACGTAACAAACGTGGGAAATCCCAAATTATTGCAGCCCGGAGGACCGGGCTGCTCTATACATATAAGTTTAAGTGTTAGTGTATGGGGATTGGGGTGGGAGTAATTATTTAGAATTAAAGGTTTTCTAATCATTGAAAAGATTGTTAATCAGAATGTTCTTTCCGTTTATAAATTACGAGATACATAATATATTTACTTCCATGAAGTGAATCTGTAAAAATATATTTGTTTTTCACATTTAATCTATAAATTTGCTTATCATTTACTATGGAAAAAAACGACAGGTCCCCTTTTTTAGAACATCGAATTTTACTTCTCGCATAAAAACGTACTGCATAGTTCGTGTTTTATATTCTAAAAATGAAAGTTCATACATTTTTGAATATAGGTGATGCATGTGTCTAACTTCAATTTATATTTTATGCAGCAACATTTACTTGAGGAATTGATCAAGTTTAATAAATGGTTTCGTTTTTGTTTGATTTTTATCCGAAAATAAGTTTTCAGAATATTCGCGACTATCGTTTCCATCAATTATACGCATGCCTTTTCACACATATCGAAGCGGTTTGATGATCAAGACTCATTTTCATTGTTTACTTTATATATTTCCCGGGCGACAATTGATGGTTACATCAATGTTTTCTTGTTATTACTATGTGAAGGTGATCAGTGGATAGATGGATAGTTTACAGATTATTATGCAGGGTCTTGGTTTCTGAAAGCAAGTTTGTAATTCTGGTTTAAACCACGACGGATACACGACTGACGTGTATTGGATTTAGGCAAATTCTCAAATGTGCAGCAATACACAACTCACTAGATATTGGTTTTGGCGAATGGCAATGGTGGAAAAAGGGGTCATATTTAGTCAGAATTTCCCCTTGATAACAAGTATGACGTCATTAATTTGAATCTCGCATTGTATGGAAATTCGTAATAGCGAGCGCAGCGAGCGTCGCGAAGCGACGCTCGTAACTGCGAGCTCTAACGACAACGCCTGGGCGAAGAGAAAATTCGGACTACTGCACATTCATTCTTTAGAATTTTTTGCTGCAGTAATTTTGACCCACAATGCATCACTTAGCAAAGTTGCGTTCTCGCGAGAATGACGGCAAATGTTCAGCAAAAAGTTTACTCGCCTTGATTTAATGGATACATATTGAAGATAAATTGTAAACGTAACTTATTTCATTAACTTTCAGCACGGTTCAATTTTTTCTTGGTATTTGTAACTTACATACGACGTCATGTGACGTCAGAGTCTAGACGCACCAAATGTCACGTGCGGTTTGACGAGCCCGATCTAAATTAAAACAATAGAAGAGTTTGCGCTCGCTCTAACGGTCGCACCGTCAACATATTAATTAAAAATATGACAATTAATGAAAAGATTTGGGTCAAATTGAACTGTACCTCGATTATGTTGAGCTGGAATAGCAGGTAACAGGGAAACTAAGGAAGTTACAGTGACTCTGAGTCAGGTGCCTACTCGACAATGGCGACATGATGTTCAGAACGTGGCGGTGCATGAGTTGCTACAGCTAGATCTACTCTATGTTTTAGGTCTGGATACGGAACTTCTTGTGATTTCTCTGGAATAAGGTCTCCTGGCCTTCGAAACTCTTGATACACGTAACATATTTACTTGTATTTGACAATAAATCAGCAGATGATGATCGATTAATTTTTAAAAAAAAAAATCTTTGCGTCTGCTTCTTTCAATTTACAGATTCAAAAGGAATGAACGAGTCTAAAGGCAGCTCCCTGCACACCATGTGACCGTAATTATGACGTCACGTCACACTCGCAGTACAGTTAAGGCAACACATGAAAAAAATACTGTAATGAAGTCATAATGAGGTCTGACGTCATGACAGTTGCTCCGCCCTGATTGATCCATATAAGGAAATGGTGCGATATTTGCAAGAATTTGTAATAAACAGCAATATCTTCATGTTGAAATAGAAAATAATTAGTGATTTTCTCGTATATATAATAGCATGTCTTTAAAATAATTCTCTTTTAATTGTGTCGTTTGTCTGCATTCGGCTTCAGCCAAGCGCTTGCACTCGGTGACACGAAATGTTGTTTACATCTAAAAACGTGGCGACATCAGCTGAGATTTGCAGTAGATTTAAATGCAATAACCACACAATCTTCAAAGAAAATAGGGATAAAATAAGAGACACGGCATTGTTTCTTCCTTTTACGAGAATATGAGGACATTATTTCGGAAAATGGCAGAAAACTGAGACGATATGCACCAGCTCCGTAGATCCATCACTGCACTGAAATTCCAGGCCAGGTAGGCCCCTATGTATACGCATATGTAGGTACATGTGTAGATCTACAATATGTAGACATGCTTTTGTTAACATAAAAAACCCGAGTGTGCTCATGTTCATTTCACATCATATCACAGTCAGTGAAAAACTGTAATGCAGTGCCTTGTGTGTAACCACACACGCCCAATACTAAGTTGCACACTTTTTAGAATTATTAAAAATTAATTGCACTAAACATGTACTGAGTTCCTGTCAATTAGCTCATTTTTTTTTAGACAATATGTGTAATAATGGAGGTCATCAGTAACAAAAATTTAAACTAAAATAAATTAAATGAGATGTTTTCATTGTTTCAGTCAATGATTCACTAGTGACTAGGCCTATACAAGCTATGATGTCTTTTGACATATTACAAATATACACAATTTAAAAAAAAAATCAGTATCATTGTGTTGAAAACATAGAAGCCCCACTTCAGATCTATGGTTCTAATTTTCTAGAATTTCTAAAGTAATGAAAAAAATATTCATTTTTTGTTTAGATTACATGTTCATTAAATTATTTATATAATATTTTTATCATTGTAGCTGTCAAGAGTATCAGACTTAAAGAATGAATATATAAAAAATGCATCATTTCTCCACAGGGTATGTATACTTCTAAAGCATTTCACATTTTTAAAGTTTGCATGTACTTTACATTTTTTTCACTTTGGTAAAGGAGAAACTCCGTACGAGTTTCACTTTCCCAGAGAGGTTTTGTAACACATTTTTTTCCATTTATATGAATTACATAAATTCACTACAGTATACAATGTAGCATAGTTTTTTGTAAAATGTAATTCCATTTTATTCTACAATGTATATTTAGTAATTTCATAGCATATAACTGCATACTATATTGTGTTGTAGGCATAGCTATTCCTGTGGACTAATGGATTTATTCAGGCAGGAAGTTAATCTATCATTTAAGGAAAATGGTATACTCAATATTAGCTATAAACCATACAAAGTTTTGATAATAAAACTAACAGAAGAATTGAAAAACATGTACATGTATATGCATTCTATGTTAAATGTTTCAATGCATTTTTTAATTTCATTTTTTAAAACACAAATTACTTTCAATAATGGTATTTCCTGATTTTCTCATATTTTCAGAATTCATTTTATCCACAAGAACATGAAGTGATGGAAATAATTTGCACCTGCCCAGCATTCCTAGGCCTACAGTCTATCATTGGATTTGAAAAGAAATGTTTATTTAATAAATTTTCTAGATAAACAAAATAATTTGACTTTTTAATTTATTTACTGTTCATGTGTTGAAAAGGCCATTAAGATTTGAAAATCTTAACTTGCATACTATTTTGTGTGGAGGGTACTAATGTCCATAAAGATCTTATTTCCAGCATGTGCATTGTGTTCATTTATTTTTTAATAATATTTAAAAAAAAAACCCAGAAGACTAGCTATCCCCCTAATTGATTCAAAATAGGATAGGGGACCACCATTTGATTTGATTCTGAGGGAAAGGGGGGGGGGGGCAGGCGAGTTTTTCCAAATCAGTTTTTTTTTCTATTTTCATGTCAATGAAGGACAGATTAATATTTATTTCCGATTAATAAAATGAAGGACAGATTATTTATTTATTTTCCCCTTAATTGAAAAGTCTAACGTGAAAAAAAATGTTTAAAACTCGGAGATCACTGATCTGCAAGTATTTATTTCTAAAATCTGCCAGACCCTCCCCTCGGAATAAAATGGCTGTCCCCTTGACAAATACAGGAGTATAACCCAATCCTTTCTTATTAGTTCCTAAAACTTAAAACTTAGTTTATATCCCTTAATTACCAGTAAGCGGTCTGAATAACCGTCTGATTGAAAGCGATCGTAGAATCTGATCTGAACATGATCTCGTATGCAGAAAGACAAAAAAAATATGAACACAAGTTTGTGTACGATAGGCGTCGGAAGCAAATGAAAGGGGGCTAATTGAAAGGGGGAGGGGGCTTAATCAAAAGAAAAAGGTAAATTCAAATGCCTACATTACGTATAAAATTTGCAAATAAGTATGGAGGCTAATCCCCAGCCCCCCCCCCCCCTTTCCCCCACCCCCGGCCGTTCCGACGCCTATGCGTACAGTAGTGTGAGAGGGGAATAGATATATAATTAATTATTAATGAAGTCTATATTTTAATTAACCATTTGTGTTTTCCTAAATATATCGGCAATATTTAGACCTGTTTGTATGTAATACTACATGTATATACACATCATTGAGGAAATGCGGGAGGTTTGAAAGACATTCAATGTAAACAATATATGGAGAACGAATACACAGAAAAGAAAGAAATATCAACGATTTTTATGCATACCGTTTGATAAAGTAAAAAAAGGGGGCCAGCCCTGTCCGCATGTATATTTATTTAAAATTTACGAGGTAAACAAACTATATCAAGTTCTCAAGAGTTATCTCCCATGCTGGGTCAATGATGCGTTTGAAAACTAAAATTAGATTGACTCTTCCAAGATTTCAATTTTTAATCAAAAAGTGCAAGGGCAAGGCGACAATCTAAAAAGTAGGTTTTTATTTTAAATTATTTATTTTATTGTATAGTTTTCAAAAAATAATGCTCATTTCTTTGTAATCCTTAAGTTAATTTATAATTCGCGATGAAATTAGGAAAATATCCTATTTTTCATACATTACTGTCTGTTTTAGCTGAATAACTTAATTATATCGAAAAACTAACTGAATGAGCATCACTTTTGAGAAAGTATAGATACATAGTGATAACATAAAACATTTTGCAGTTAATTTTTTGTTTGCCTTGCCCTTGCACTTTTTGGTTAAATTTGACATCTCATTTCTTGACCTAAAATCGGAGCCAACGTGACTTCAGGGTGTCACATGATGTCAAAAAATACCGATGTGAAAAGCGATGGACATACTCTTCAAGATAAGAAATAGCTATTTTAACTAGAGTGTCTTTCTCAAAAATAAAACTGTTAAACATTATATGTATCGAATTCCGTTAGTTTTTATAGAAAATGTTGCCTTAACTGTACTGCGCTCAAAGCGAAAGTAAGAATAATTGCTTGTACGCATATAATTCGTGCAATTGTCTGTTTACGTGAATGTTCAATGCTATTATATTTTATGCATTATTCAATGAAGAAAGCTAGAATAACAAAGATATAAACGTGCTTGAAATACCAACCTTTTGTATAATTGGTTAAAATACCTAGTCTGATTAAAGGGGGGGGGGGTATATCGCTTGTGAAGTTGTGCTTAATTATCATTAAACACAAAGGATGTACACATCCAACGACAACAACCCCTCATACCCCACTCCCACCCCAACCCCAACCCCACCCATTTTGCTTGACACTGCAGAGTAAACAGGTAAACCAAAAAGTCTTCAGAACTTTATCTACACAATGTCAATTATATGTTCCGCGATGTTTCTCCGTGTAGAGATATCGATGGTATTCCAAAACCTTGACATTATGAATATTTCACACTTTGAAATGATAATTTAAGAACTTTAAAGCCAAAACAGATTGTAAACTTGTTGGTGTCTATTGTATTGCAATATAGACCCCCCCCCCCCCTTGCGCATGTTTAGCTGTTGAAAATCCCAACTGGTATGACATTTTACAGAGACATATGCATTTTAATTACTTGTGTTCAAACTGAATCGTCTCGTCTTTTCCATTGATTTCTTAAATTATTCTTTATCATATATATATTTATGATACCTATTCTTCCTTTGAACATTTTTTTCTTCTGATTTCGTTCAAAGCATTCTAACATGTCTAATGCAACTTAATAAGTCAAACAAATGTATACTTTCTTGAATTTAATTAAAAAAAATAAATAAAGAGACAGTACATGTAGCATACGGTACATGAAAACAACACTGCTTTGTTGAAATCTAGTTACTTTAATTATGTATTCAAGCAAAAAACTAGTAATAAAACTTAAAGATCATCATCATAATTCATAGGTGACATAACACATTCACGAACCAGAGGCGAATCCACCTTTTTTTGAAAGAGTCTTCAAGGTACATGTATGTGCCCCCCCCCCCTCTCCGCACCCTAGCAACGACCTTAAAGGCCCTAATTGAAGCTGACAACCCCCCCCCCCCAAAAAAAAAATTAAACTGAGCACCCATAATATCCAAGTTTGTTGTAAAGGGGGGGGGGTCTTTTACTTTTCGGTACATTTTTTTCTTTCAAATGCTGGAATTTGCACATTTTGACGCTGACCAGCAACTAAAAGCTGTCCTAGGGGAGCAGCGTCTGAACTAAATTTGCGTATAAAAAGTACACTCAGCAAAAGAGTACTCTCAAAAAAGTGAGGCTCCTCCTCCACGTATTATGTCCGGGGCGTTTTAATACCTTTTGTCTTCATTGACTAAATTACTTTCATACTATAGGGAGAAAATATTCATCTTTAGCATACTCCTTATCATAACCTTTTTTTGACATATTGCTGTAAGGAATTTACTTTAGAAGATTCTCCAAAAATGTTATCGCGAAAGTTTTGCCAGAATCTTCTGATATTGAAACCTTGCATGTTATACTATAGCTAGTATGGTAATGAAGATCATTTTTCTTTCAAGAACTTATTATAAATGATAATCCTTCAAGACATCCTTATAAGTTTCAAGTGACATTGTGTGGGCCCGGTTGGGGCCCGGGACCAAGGTAGTGAAGGCATAACGGGTATCTATTAGCAATAGGCAATACTCTTTCTAGTGAGCAGAAAAGGCAGAGATTTGGATACTTTATTTATTTAACATATTAAACGTAAAAATACCTATTACAGAAAACATATCTCTCTAATATCTTCTCTCTGGAAAAATAAGGAGGGAAGTCCAGTCCCTACCCTCTATATCTGCCAATGTGTACCATTAAAATTCAGTTAAGAATATGCAAAACAGAGGATAGATAGTTTCAGTCAACAGTCAAGACACAAACAGTCAAAGAGTTAATCACTACTTTTAAAAGAACCAAAGTCTTTGTTATATGAAACACAAGCCTTTTTTACCGACTGGAGCAAGTCCTTTAATGGTTTAACAAGATTAAACTGTTGTTTTTAATTTGGTGGTAAGCAGGATACTGATTGTTTTACTGTCCAAATTAGCAGCGGTCTCTGTCTGTATTTTCTACACCATAAAGAAGACTCATTCACATCCAGCATTGGAGTTTGGCACAATATTTAAAGCAATATGAGCTGCATTTTTGAGAATTTTATTTTGCTGGTAAAATGTGTTATTATGACCAATCTGTATGTAATGTAAACCTTTATGATCAAAAAGACCAAATTAAAGTTCAAAAAATGTTTCAGAAGAAATATATCTGTACAACCGAATATGAAGTATTATACAGTATTATATAAGAAATCATTATTGTACAGGACGACAATAATTCAATTTTGCTTCAGTCAAAGCTTATAGAAAGTTCTTCCATAGCAAATATGAACAACAGAAGTTTACATATATTCTATTTTTCTGTCATTGAAATGGTAAATTACAAATTTGCAACATTTTTTTTCCGATGTCAAACATGCAGCTCATATTGCTTTAAGCATGGCTTTGACTATTTCACCACCACTGGATACTGCTGTACAGTCACGAAGTATGGAGTAGATCCTTATGTCATGGGTTCAAATCCCACTGAGGGACGTGGAGACTGGTCCTTCGGATGAGACAGTATAAATTCGGGTCCCGTGTTGCAGTACCTGCTGGCACAAAAAAGATCCCTCCCTGCTCAATGGCCCTGAGAGCTGAGTATAGGACAAAATTTGCAGCTCTCCACCGGCAAGTGGTGGCCTCTCCATATGAGTGAAACATTCTTGAGAGGGATGTTAAACAACATAAGGTCAATCAATCATCACTGGAAACCTTGGTGTCTTGGTGATGCTATTTCTTTTGTCCAGAATCCTATCCCATGCAGTAGACATCTGTTCTTGTGTCTTCTACAAAACCTGGGAGGTCCACAGCAGGAGTTGTTTGGTAGTCCTTGAATTTGTCTTTCCTTTGTTCCCATTGATCCTAGGGCACTATGGAAGTGAATCTCTGTGCTAGCACAGTTAGGGCAGTTGGTGGTAGATCTCCTCCATTTGCTGGATTTAGGAAACCAAGGTTGGATACCACCATATCCTTGAACAGAAATTTGACCAGCATCTTTGATGTCACTGCATAATAGAATTTTCTGACCTAAAAGATATTTTTAGAAGTCATTTATAAACAGAAAATAAATAAAAATGTCAAACAAATAATTAATTGACCCAAAATGATATTTTTTTTTATTAGTCTCAAGTTAACAAGGAATCTGCAATACAAACCTCTGTAGTGACGATGATTGATTTTCATCTCATGGTCCACCATGTAAGCTCTTGTCATTACATGAGTGGCTATGATGTTGTCATTCAGCTGGGTGTTGCCGTCTATAAATGAAC